TTAATTCCTAATAATATAAAAATTCGATTAGGTGTAATACCACCAAATCATGGTACGTCACATCCAGTTGCATACGAAAATAGATCGAAAAAAATATTCCCTTGAATTTGACAGTTGTAGAAAATTACCCTTGCATTTCAATACACTAAAATTTTTCTGAGTCATAAACATGTATGTTGGGTGTCTGAAAGCATCATTCTTTTTGTATTTGGTGGTCCTATAAAATATGTTGGAAAGTTAAGGTTACATAGTTACCAAAGCTGGTAACTAGGAAATAAAAGGGTAAAAATTTGGGTTGTTTACTTCCGGTGATGGTTTATTTCTTATATGCAAGAAATGTAGTGTGAAATTTTCACTGTAGTACTGGAAAGGATTAAACTTTATTCATGCTAAGTATTTCTTTAGTTGAATCAAAGATAAATACTGTACAATTTTTTGAAAAATGCCAATTTAACAAAGACTAATAGGGGAAAATCAATGGTGGTATTACACCTATATAGGGAAACTATATGACCTTATTGTACTTTCATTTTTAAAAATTCTTGCTAAACAAGCACATAGATTGTAAACATGGATTATTCCGAATGGATTGAGACACAGAAAACACGTTTGAGGGAAAATTGCCTTGAAATGGGGGTTTACGGGTGTTTGATAAGTCAAATAGGTGGACAGACAAAGCTGTATTCAGTTTATAGTGTTAGGTTTCCTTTGGACAGAAAAAAAAGAACATTGTATGGTCACAGATTTGCCTACATGTTGCACACTGGGAAATTTGACCTTTCAGAGGAAGTAGATGTGTCTCATCTGTGTCATCAGAAGAGATGCATCAACCCTGAGCACGTATCTTACGAGCCGCCTCATATCAACCAAGACCGCCAAGTTTGTCGCGGTACACATCCAATAAGGTGTCGAAAACACAAACCCTACCAAGACTGTTTGATTTAAAATGGTAAAACAATAATGGTTTTAAAGAGAAGTAATATCTCCTCTCAGCACACTAAATAAATGCAAAGAGATAATGGTCACATAAAACTACATGAAAATATGAAAAGCTATGTTCACAAACAACATAAAATATAAAAATATAGCTAAGGTGGGCACTAAACACAACCAGAACTGCATTGCACTGATCAAATCATAACACTGAGTTCACCTGTATCATACATGTACAGGTAACAATTACCTGATATTGATTTACTATCAAACAGTACAGGTGGAAATTTAATCTTGAACTTCATCCGACATACTTTTAGAAGAATACTTTATATATTTTCACGCGAGAAATAAAAGTTTAATATCAGCAAAAGAATTTAGTATATCAAATATACATGAAGTAGAAAATTAATGCATTTTGTTTAAAATAATGAACTATATTTCCTACACTTTAATATCTATAGTTGTTGACATTTGTATGCATTATAATATTGAAATTACAAAGGCCCTATCTAGCTTTAAATCCAAATTTTTAAGTAAGATTAGTAAATAGTACTCCTTAAAAAAAATTATATTACTATTTATGATAGGAATGGTCATTTTAAACACAAATATTGTCAGAATCCTCATTTCCTGGATTAGCAAGGCCCTTTTTATAATATACTGAAAGAGGATAGTGAATGCTTTCCTGTAATTTATACTTTCTCCTCCTACTATTTGCCCTCTTTAGTTTTGAAGATATGAGACGTTTGCGTTGAGCATTGCAAATCTCAATTTTATGGTCTTTGTTTCAGTTGTTTTGCAACCAATGAACCCGGTGTAATAGTAGCACCCAGCTGAACAGAGAGTTTGATAACAGAATTGGAATATTTGTTGTTCACCATTAGCACAGCAGCATGAGCCCGACCGGGAAAGTTTCTGTGAAAAGTTACATTTTTAGGATTGCACCTACTCAGTGAACGGTTGAATCCCTCACTTTTTTGAGTTGAGGTAAGAAATCGAACTAACTCGAGGCTATTTGGACCAAGCAAGATTTTTATACACCTCCTTACCTCTTCTTGATCATCTAATGTCATCTTTAATGTACTGCCATTTGATATATAACTTCTGATCCAACATTTTGAAGGTTCACCCCCACACACATAGGAGTTTACTTTACAAGAAATTCCACAGTAACCCTTATAACACATAATTATGGTATCAATGACATCTGGCATGTGAGCCTTCAGAAGTTGTAAGTTTCCCTTATGAACTGAAAACCCAGTATTTAACTCAGCTATACATTTAGCTTTAATATCAAGAGCAAAGCGACTCTTTTCATTTCGCTTATTAGATCCTGAGAACATGATTGCACTAAAAGTGCATTTCATAATGGCCCTTTTTAAACTTTGAGACAAATCCTTACATCTCTGAGACTGAACATTATTTCCATGTACACTTTTAATCCCGGTAAATGATTTACTATCCCCATAAGTGAAATGAGATATTTGAAGGTGATCGCTGACTTCAGCTGCGCTCCGGCGACTATACTCTCCCTCGTTACCTATTTGGAAATCTTCTGCAATATTGGCTGTACATAAACCAGCATGGTTTGGGCATGTTACATTTTTGCCTTTACCTCTCAATTTTGAGGCAATTAAGTACAGTTTATTACCAGTGTAAAGAGAGATTATTTTTTTATTTTTTGTCATATTTTCACACATAACTTGGGTGACTTGTGTACCGGCCTGAAAAGGTGTGGTGCCATTACTAAAAATTGGGTTATTATACCTAGCATCAGATTCAACTCGAACCAACTTTTCATTGGATAGACCAAGTATTTTTTTGTCATTTGCCAAATTTTTCCTTATATTTTCCATGTCATCTTTATTTACTTTTACCGCAACTTTTGAAACTTTATTTGCACATTTATGCAAGCCTGATGAAGAAGGGGAGATAATATTGGCTGCATTTAGGATTTCACTGAAATTTTTGATTGATATTGGTGTATGTATTAGACCAACTTGTGCACCAATGTTAACCTTGGCAGCCCTTCTGCCTCTTTTCAGAGATTCAACTTCTTCATATAATTTATGAAATGCACTTTTGAATCCACATATATTACATTGAAACCTTTCTTGCCATGCTAATCCCCATTTTACTTGCGCCTCTGTGTCAAATTTTAAACCACCCTTACAGTCTTGTTTATATAACATGTGATTTTTTATTTCAGCGTTAATCATGTACTGAAGAGCATTCTGTTGAAAAATCTTATATGTGAATTGGTCTGCAGATGACACATTAGCTTTGAGGTATGTATCAACTAATGTCATGTTTTTTTTTGTTTTGGACGCAAAAGTTTACAATTGCCATTGAGCCGTCTGCATTTTGCGAAGACAAAACACCATCTAAACACTTATTTACCCTGGATTTATACACATCAGAATCCAGTCTGACATACTTAAAAATTTCACAATTCTTATCTAATTTAATTTTTTTACCAGCATTCCAAGGAACATAACCCTTTTTAAAACCATTTTGAGGTCTTTTGTTATTCCTCTTTCTGCTCATTTTCTATTTAATACAATAAAGTGGAATTTTTATTATATAAATCTATAGAAATATACTGTTATAAGTAAATAGAATTACTTTGATATCACTAACAACAAATGATTGACTGAAAGGGAACCGTTATTGGTCACACTCGGGAACGTACCAAAAACTCAAGTTTTACATAAGGACTTATAGAAACTTCCGTGGAGACTGTTAACATTTATAGAGACAGTTCCTTCAGCTAAAACACTTTCATTATTGATTTAACATTACATTTCTTACATTTATTTGGGAAAATAATCACATTTGTTTTATTTTTTAGCCTAAAGATATCAAGTTTTGAAGAAAAAAGAAGGAAAAATGGACCAAAACAGACCGTCAAATGAACTCAAAAAGGTGCAATAAAATTGTTTATCATCTTAAAGTTGTCTTTTGTATCCTATTTAATTGTTTGAATGCATAGATGATGAGTTTTTAATCAGAAATTGGTCAACACTGCATTTTATCATGATACACTGAAATTAGTGATTTTCTCTGAAACTATAGCTCTAACTGAGACAAAACTTGGAAGTTATGCTTGAAATAACTTGCAATTCAAAGGAAAAAATTACATTAAGTTTATTTGACATTTAGGTGTTCTTTAGGTGTAATACCACCAAATCATGGTACGTCACATCCGGTTGCATACGAAAATAGGTCGAAAAAAACATTCTCTTGAATTTGACAGTTGTAGAAAATTACCCTTGCATTTTAATACACTAAAATTTTTCTGAGTCATAAACATGTATGTTGGGTGTCTGAAAGCATCGTTCTTTTTTTATTTGGTGGTCCTATAAAATATGTTGGAAAGTTAAGGTTACATAGTTACCAAAGCTGGTAACTAGGAAATAAAAGGGTAAAAATTTGGGTTGTTTACTTCCGGTGATGGTTACTTTCTTATATGCAATGAAATGTAGTGTGAAATTTTCACTGTAGTACTGGAAAGGATTAAACTTTATTCATGCTAAGTATTTCTTTAGTTGAATCAAAGGTAAACACTGTACAATTTTTTGAAAAATGCCAATTTAACAAAGACTAATAGGGGAAAATCAATGGTGGTATTACACCTTACGGTAACTGAACGTGCTCTCGATGACCCATACAAAATGCATAGTAAAGCAAAGAAAGACTTCATTGTATTCATAGATAACAATGTAATTATAAGAATTGATAGCTTCTTTTTGCAATTTTTAAAGAAAGAAAAAATGTAAAAAAACCTGTTTAGAAAATGTGCTCTAGTCGACAGTCCAATAGACTTTCAGAACAAAGCATTTAATTCTAAATTAAAATGAATAAATGTAGAAAAATTCCCACTAATAGATAAGATGTATATAAATTACAGTGATCCTTTAATACTTTTAAGATCTCACAACTAATTTACACCATCTTGCTGAAGATACTTGATTACGATATTTCAAAGCAATTTCGTATTGCATGAATCGCAGAAGAACATGAGACAGTGTATTCAAATTGTAAATGTGTTATCATATCTTCATGAAAAATATGTGGTAGATTCGACAGTCAAAGGGTAATAAGTACTGGATGTAGAAAAAGATTAATCATTCAGATTGCATGTCGAATGAACCATTGGATTCCACTTGTTATATTTGTGAGCTAAGGTTTTTTCTGCACAAAAAAAATAAGTTGTGATTATATTTAACGATATAGAAAAAAAGAGAAAAAGTTGTAGTCTGTGAGAACATGCCTTATTTATTATTTAAATGCTATATCTGAGAACAAGAAGCGGTCATAAATATCCTGCCTTTGAAGGTTTTATTTAAGGAGAGACTCACAACTAAAAAGTCATAATAACTGTTATCATTACACAAACGTTATGCACAAGGGTTGTAATTATCCTTTATATAAAGTTGTGAGCTTTGTATATCCGTTTGTCTGTCCGTCTATCAATTAAACATTCTTCTGACCAATCGTCAAGCAAATATTTCTGTCACACTTATTGCAGATGCTACTAAACAAATTTTATTTGTTGGCAGCGGCTTTAGAGTGATGAGTTGTAACATGTGATATAAGAAATAAAAAGATGTGGTATGGTTGCCAATGAGACACATTTTCCCCAAAAAACCAAATGTAGTAGGAAGTGCAGAATTTTTAGCTTCCGGTTAACCCCAGCAAGGACAAAACAAAAGATTTGAAAATTGGCATTTGCCACTTGTCTGCCAAACACGCACCATTTTGGAGTAGCAGCAAATATTTGTTTTCGTTGGCTGGGAGTCAGAATAATACATGGGTCTAGGTTCTTTTCTACATAAGGAGTCTTTATCTTGTGAGCATGCAGTTCAACAAAATATAGAAATATGACTATGTCATGTATGTGACGCTCTGGAAGAAGTATCTTTTATATCTCATTAACATATATCGTCCTAAACGTTAAACATGAATTATTTTATGAGAGGAGTTGGATACAGATACGGGTAATATCTTCTTTAAACTTCATGCAGACGATGCGAATTACTATACTTCTGTCGTTCAACCAGGGTTTTTTTTGTAAGATTTATACATTACTATGTATAAAATAACAGCTCCCGGTTCGTACAAATTCGTCAAGTTACGCTTTCGTAAGTTCGTTCGTCAATATCCTGGTCATCTCTAATGCATGATGGTGTTTTGTTATTTCGTAATGATGATTTGCCAATTCTTCATATGGCTTTAACATTACATAATGATGGTTCAAAATTTGACGATTTTACACAACATGATGTGTTTGTTCCTGTATTTGATGTGGTCCTGTCATTCTTTGATGTGGTTAAGGATAATGACTTTAAAAGGAAAAGCTAACCACTACCATAACAGAAGAAACAATACCTTAGCCACAAAACTCATATATACTAGTCAATTTACAGAGTGTAACATAATGAACCTATTTTACTATATATACATACTAGTGGTGACACTTTACTAAAGTGTGCGATCTTATATCGAAATTATCTTAAATTATATATAGCCAACAGGATTTTAAGCAATATATGGATTATATAAAGGACTTTTTAGAAGAACCGAATATAACTTTTAGACAATACTTTACTATATATCTTTTAAATCATGAGGAAGAGGCACTCATTCTTTTATCATCTTACCGTGATAGGAAAACAAATGATTTTATGGAATAATGTTATTGATATCTTACAGAAATGAGTTATACTTTTGAAGCATATCTAGCTACGCATACAAAACGGTTAGGGGAACCGAAAACAAATGTGTAACATGTGTGTATATATATATATATAAAGAAAGGAATTTTATATTATATAGTGACTGACTTTTAACCACCGTATGATAGGCACAGAAACATTTTAATTATAAAACAAAGGATTTTTAATATAAGTGTGTGTGGGTAGGATTTCACTGCAACATATTGGTGGAGGCATCACTGTACATAGAAATTGCGGATCACAAGTTCTACATACTAGCGTATGGTTCCTCTACAAACGGGGTTAAAGATACAGAGGTAAGGTAAGGTAAGGTTATCACATTACTTGATGAGGTAAAGCCACGTGTCAATTTTGGAAAAAAAATAGTTTTTTTTTTAGCCCGATTTCCATATGTCGTTTATTTAATGTGATTCGGATGAGTGTCGCTATCCATTGAGTTAAAGTTCAAATTAAAGTTCGAGTTGTTGTTCAGAGTTATTTGGTATGAAAAAGGGGAACGGCAGACAAAAATAAGAAAAAAAGTACAAACCCAAACCACTTGGTCCTGCCGTTCCCCCCCCCCCCCCCCCCCCCCCCCCCTGAGTTCTCAAATGGAAGCAGTATTACAATAAATTCGTGAAGAATTCTACGGAACCCTGTGTCTCGCCTGAGATTGCTGCTGTTATTGTAAAAGTGTAATGTTGACTGTAAAACGTCCATTTATCGGTAAAAAAAAAAATAAAAAAAATTGTTTTTCTGTACATGTTTATAGATATAGATTTATTACAATTCATAGAGGTTTAAAAATTTATCATAACAAAATAGTTTAATTTGGTAATATTTAATGCAAATAAAACTTATATAAAAATAAGAAGATGTGGTATGATTGCCAATGAGACAACTCTCCACCACATACCAAATGACGTAGCAGTTAACAACTATATGTCACTGTATGGTCTTCAACAATGAGCAAAACCCATACCGCATAGTAAGCTATAACAGGTCAAGAAATGACAAATGTAAAAACAATTCAAACGAGTAACCTAACGATCTAAATGATGGAGACGCCGACGACGGAATATAGGTTTGTTGTGTCTCATTTCCGCGACATTAAAATCGCAGGCTGGACACACATCAAATGATTTGTACTTTATTGTCAACAAATGAGACACTTTAAATCAACTCACACTAAAATTACAGGGAAATGGGGGGATCGGACTAAGCGACAAAGCATCAATTCTATAAAATAAGAATTCTCCGATTTTTTTTAGCGTGTAATATCATTTGAACATATACGAATATCAATCTTTTAATATATATTTTTATAAATTCCATTTTCTGATATACCTCGCACTAAATTGAAAATAAAACCTAAACTTTTTGGAATATCTGTTTCACAGGTGACGACGGATATGTTCCAGTTGTCGTTACCACAATCCCGTCCTCTATTCTCGAATGTTACCTACCGAATTAGACCAAATCACTGGGTTTGTACTTTCACGAATAACACGACGGGTGCCACACGTTGAGCAGGATCTCCTTACTCTTCCGGAGCACCCGAGATCACCCCAGGATTTTGATGGATTTATATTGCCCAGTCATACTGATCTATAGAGTTAAGCCAATTGCATCTGATTTTTATACGCCTGTTTACGGGACGTATGATGGTATACCGTTGTCCGTCCGTCCGTCCGTCCGTCCGTCCGTCCGCCTGTCTGTCCGTCCGCCCGTCCGTCTGTCCGTCTGTCTGTCCGTCCGTCCGTCCGTCTGTCCGTCTGTCCGTCCGTCAAAAAAACTCAAAAACGCTTTTACCAATTTGCATGAAACTTTAATAAAGTGTTTATATCTATTGACGTGAGCTCCCTTTCGTTTTTTAATAAATTTAAGATTTTACTTTTCCGAGTTATGGGGTTTTATTCATTTAAAAAGGGGGATTTCCTGTTTTCGCACAATAACTCGAAAACACTTTCACCAATTTGCAAGAAACTTTGATGAATTGTTTATATCTATTGACGTGAGCTCCCTTTTGATTTTTATAAATTTTAGATTTTACGTTTCCGAGTTATGGGGTTTTATTCATTAAAAAAAGGGGGATTTTCCAGTTTTCGGACAATAACTCAAAAATGCTTTCAGCAGTTCTTTATGAAACTTTGGTGAATTGTTTATATCTATTGACGCAAGCTCCCTTTCAATTTTTATAAATTTTAGATTTTACATTTCCGAGTTATGGGATATA